TGAGCTCATATGCATTTCACAATGAGGACGAAATAATTCTGGATAACAAGCAAAGCAATGGAAAAGAGGGTTGTTTGTCTTTTACCTGTCACTGGGTGTGACCTTGCCTTATAGATTCTCCTGAGATGGACGCCTGCTCCCCAGATGACTCCTCTCTTTTTCAGGGACCTGTTGGGTGGATGCATGTATGTAGCTCTCGTTAATGGTGATGAGTGGGCACCTGGGGGTAGTTCCGCCAACGATGCAGGGACCCTGCTTCCAGAGCCAAATCACTGCCAGTTCAAGAGCATCCAGAGCTTGGGCTTGCACTGACCTTCCTGGGCACCTCTCAAGTGATAATCAAGATTCAGTCACAGAGGGGTGCCTGGGTGGCTCAGTTGGTTAAGCGTCTGCCTTCGGCTCAGGTCATGATCCCGGGGTCCTGGGATCGAGCCCTGCATCAGGCTCCCTGCTCGGCGGGGGGGCCTTCTTCTCCCCCTCCCTGCTTCTCCCCCCTGCTCATATTCTCTCCCTCTGTATCTCTGTGTCTCGAATGAATTAAAAAAAAAAAAAAAAAGAACAGTCACAGAGCCATTTCTTTCTCATGCAAGAAACAAACAGTTCCTTTTTAGAGAAAAATCTGAAATGAACAACTTTAAAATGCTTTTAGGAGATTCACGATACTAACTTTTTAAAATGTAAATCTCCACAGTGATAGAAAGTTGTGTTTTAAAGTTTCATTTTTTACATTTTCTAACTTTTTTGAGATCTCTCAGGCCCCTTTGGGAATCTCTAGATTCCTGGGATTCGGACATTTTCTTCCAGTCTGTGAATGAACTTGCAGCACCCAGGTACAGTCTCTGCTCTTTGGGGCTCCAGAGGTCCTTTGTTGGCACCTGTGACAACAGGTGTGCATGGAGGAGCCTAGGAGGCTCAGTGGTGATCACGGCAGACTCCAGGCTGTCGAGGTTTGTTGTGTAGGGAAGGAAGGATGGAAAGAAGGAATTCAAAATGAAGACTAAGCATTCTTGCATAAACTCCAGTCTCATTTAACCCTCTGCCCTATTTTGTCTGAAGCCAGTTCTAATGTGTTCAACTTTCCTATTTGTCTGCCCCTAGAAACTTGCCCCTTCCTACCTGCCCAACCTTTAGTGCGTAGAGTTTGAGGCAGTCGGGAAGATACATCCCATGTAAGAGCAGTCTGGGCATGGGAGAACAGGGGTAGCAGAGTGACATAGGGCAAGACGAGGACAGAGCGGAGCACAGCACGGTTCTATCCAGCCATTCAGGAAGGGCCTAGAACCAGAGGAGAGAGGGATGGCTTAATCTGTGACAGGAGTCACAGGGCCTCTGAGACATGTGATCAAAACCAGTGAGTTTTCCCGAGAGCCCAGCTTTTCCTGA